TTCCCCTCCCCCACAGGTTTCTGTTAAGATTCTCAGGATCCACATAAAAGTGAAAACATATGGTATCTGTCCCTCTCTGTATGGCTTATTTCACTTAGCATAACACTCTCCAGTTCCATCCACCAATATGACAATAAATTTCATATATTAAAAAAATAAATAAAATAAAAAATAAACATAAAAAAAATTTAAAAAACAAAGAGGAGAAGGGAACACTGAACTTCTTATGAGAGACACAGATTGGCCAGGAAGACCTACTAGGGAGCGATCTTGGGGAATGATCCCTGACCCTTCTCTCTTCCTTCCCTCTAAACTCTTCTTTTTGTATTTTTTTAATGTTTATTTATTTTTGAAAGAGACAGAGCCAGAGTATGAGTGGGGCAGAGAGAAAGGGAGACAGAATCCAGAGCAGGCTCCCGGCTCTGAGCAAGCTGTCAGCACAGAGCCCGACACGGATCTTGAAGAGATTATGACCCTAACCAAAGTCAGACACTCAACCAACTGAGCCACCCCTCCTCTAAACTCTTAAACATAAACAAAAGCCAAAGGGCAAAGTAGCCTACCGATACATTCAATTTAGGTCATTCTACTTGGACAGAAACAGGGTAAAACTGTGCAGAACTGGGGATGGAGGCAAATAGAAGATACCAATGGTATTTGCCAGTCCAGATCAATGATGTCAACAATGGGAAGGGAAGTTCCAGTATTTGACTTGTCCAATAAAACTCACACACATTACCATATTGTAGCTTTGCATTTACAATGATTCAAGATACGAGCACACACATAAAAATTGTATTACCTTCCATAGTATTTACATATGCAAATACTTTGATATAACTACATTCATTCTTTATTATACATTTATTTCAAATCATTTCTCCTTTATATTACTTTAGGCATTATATTCATTTCTTAAGGACTCAAATATGTACATTATATTTTTCACTAACATTTTAGTGTAGTGAAGGGACCATTCAAGAATGTGTTATGATTTAGAGGTATTGGATCAGAGAGAACTGAAAACCATTGGCTTAGATTTATCCTTATTCATTCTAGGGCTGAGGAAGGCCTACTAAAGAACACAGTGTCCAATTCCTGTATGAAATGGGAATTCTATTAACCAGAGAAATTGAGAATGTCTCTTATGTAAGTGACAAGTGTGTCTTCTATGGTTTATAACATTATGCACTGTCTTATTAATTAGCAATTATATAATTAAAAAGCTAGCCCCCGTAATATGAAAAACACTTGATAAGTCTTTGAAACAAAAAATATATATAGTTCCTATTTTCAAGTAATTGGCAGGCTAATAGCTGACGTTAGATAACAGGTCTTTTGAAGGACATTAAACAGAAGAGAATGAAAGAAGTTCATCTCTTTAATAGTGTCTGCAGTATGGGCTTGCTTTGCTTCCTGTTAAAGGCACATTCATATGATCTAATAATTGAGCATAAAGCAGCCTAAAGGATAGTTTATTTATTTATTTATTTATCTATCTATTTATTTATTTATTTACTTATTTATTTGCCAACCAACATAAATTACTAGATCACAGAACAACCAGCCTTTTTTCAGGAATCCTTGCTGGGAGAAGCTGTGGGCAGAGGCTAAGGGCAGTGGTAGCCCAACAGTAACTCTACCATGGAAATATCCAAATTGTCTATGTCTAAAGCCTACATTTTTTCCATCAGTCAGGTCTTACTGAATCACTTAGTGACTCATTCTTAGTGAAAGTCTACTGCCAGCCTTTTATCCTAAGTGTTCTCAAAACACTCATTTAATGGACCTTCCTGAAATTGTGCTCAGGATCAATAAGAAGCTCATTGACATTTGGAATTCACCATTTGCTTCTTTTTCAAACATGGGATACTTATCTATCTTCTGTGTTCTGACATCTCAACCCCTCTCCATGGCTCTCTCTCAAAATCACCAACATTGCTTCCAATATCATTCCTAGAAGACTTTTCTGACCAAATGTATTTATCTGACACTTGAACTTTTATAGCAATGGAAGTCTAGCTATCTCTCCCCAACTTAAATTCACAATTACACATTTTATATAATCTTTGAGGTCCTTATCATTAATACCAGAAATCTTTTATAAATCTTAGTCTTAAAAATAGGGGCGCCTGGGTGGCGCAGCCGGTTAAGCGTCCGACTTCAGCCAGGTCACGATCTCGCGGTCTGTGAGTTCGAGCCCCGCGTCGGGCTCTGGGCTGATGGCTCAGAGCCTGGAGCCTGCTTCCGATTCTGTGTCTCCCTCTCTCTCTGCGCCTCCCCCGTTCATGCTCTGTCTCTCTCTGTCCCAAAAATAAATAAACGTTGAAAAAAAAATTTAAAAAAAAATAATAATTTCTACTTGCTTCTCTGTGAGCTTACCTGCAATCTTTTACTTGTATTCTGCTATTACTAGAATTACATAATATATTGAAAGATGAATCTGTCCAATTTTCTGATTAGATTAAGTTGGAAATGGGAATATGTTTTCTTCTTTTCCTAACTAGGCAAAGATCCTGATTTTTGCATTCATACTAGAGGCAGACTAAAGCACTCAGGTTGTGAGATTGTGAGAGACTTTACACAACAAGTGGACTTTATCTGAGTAGTCCCTTTCTAAATCATGATAAAGACATATGAACATCATGGAGGAAACAAACTGATTACCTGGTAAACACTGCCTTTGTGATATCCAAAAGAAACCATGTGTTTTTGTGCTTGGGCTCACAGAGCAAGAACATGTAGCTTGCTTGGTTATCACTAGAGAAGAGTTTTGTAATTATTTATAGAATTCTAATGCATTTAAGCCAACTTTAAAGTAGCCCCCATGAGGAAAAGAACATATGGAAAGCTTATTGTTTTTAGGTTTGGCATTCCTTCGGATTAAATTTAGTACTTTAAAAAAAAAAAAAAAACTATCTCCCTTTGCAGGTCGTGTGTGATCTATATCCACTTAACTTTCTAGCTGTACATCCAGAGCTACTTTCACAGGAAGAAGTGGGAAAGAATACCCAACGGGGATTCTTTGCTTGATACTGCTCAATGAGAGCACTTTCTAAAGGAGTGTCTAACCAATGTTCTTCTGGATTCACATTATTCACCTAGGTATGTTCTGAAAATCCTATCAGTTTATGCCACTTGTAAAGACAAATGAAGAGATCACATATCTTAACATTCACAGACTTTAGATTCTGAAAAAAAAATAATAAAAATAATTCTGTGTTAAAGGTGAAAGGAGTTTTTTGTTTTTACTTATTATTTTTATCTTTGTACACAATCATATTGCTGCACTGTTGACTGCCCGCTGGGAGCAAAGTCATACCAATCACCAATACATACCCTAAAGAGACATGTTTATTACTCTTCCATGAATTCTATCTCCTATTATGCTTTAAAGATGCTACAAGGGGCGCCTGGGTAGCACAGTCGGTTAAGCGTCCGACTTCAGCCAGGTCACGATCTCGCGGTCCGTGAGTTCGAGCCCCACGTCGGGCTCTGGGCTGATGGCTCAGAGCCTGGAGCCTGTTTCCGATTCTGTGTCTCCCTCTCTCTCTGCCCCTCCCCCGTTCATGCTCTGTCTCTCTCTGTCCCAAAAATAATAAATAAACGTTAAAAAAAAACTTAAAAAAAAAAGATGCTACAAACTTGAGCCATTAATATGTAATGACATTTCCAGCAAGCCCTCAAATAACATCTTATGAGATTTCAAATGTCATGATTATGAAACAGTAAAAGAATTAAGGAAATAAAGAAAAGCACAGTATATGTATAGAAAGTATTAAAACATAAAATTTTCAATTATTAAAACAAATAATAAGAAGTGAGCTTTATTCTAAACACCAATTAAATCAGAACCACCACACAGGGAGTACAGGTGCATATTAAACCATTATACCAACAAGAACAGAAATCTCTTTCTCCTGCATGATTAAATTTAGCATTTACTAAGGAAAGCATAACACAAAATGCCTTTATAAATCCTTCCATCAACTTAAGAAATGTATACACTATTGATAAGATTTTAAGAAGTCTCTGGACAAAAAAAAAAAAGAAAAGAAAAGAAAAGAAAAGAAAAGAAAAAAGAAAAACACAAAAAATAAAATTAATATCAGTGAATAGTGAAATAAATGCATTTATTAATATTATGTTAATAATATATTGAATTCTAAACATTACATTTATTTGTTGAGCCAAAACTCACTTAACATCACCATATACAACATTGATATACTATTGAGAAAAGAGCTTACCATCTTCCAATTCTTTCTAAAGCCTTTACATGTGTTATTTCATGCAATCCTCACAATAAATTTAAGAGGTATATGCTGATTTTATAATTTTACAGAGAAGAAAATTGAGTCATATAGAGAGTAAGTTGTAATAACACTCAGGTGATCAGTGACATAGTTGATATTTGAAGTAACAGGATAGTAGAGTATGATTTAGAGAACACTGAAATGATAGTTGAAAGCATAGGCTCTGGATTGAAATTTTTAGCTCATCTTTTTAGTAGCTGTGCCTTAGTTTTATATACACATCAGTTTGTGCCTCTCTTATGAGCTGGTATTATACTGGTTTATGCTTGCAGGACACTTACAACACTACCTGGAATTTGAAAGATATTAGCCATCTTGTTCCATTTTCTTTACCTTGAGTAATTCATGGATCTGATAGAAATCAATGTGAACATGAATAAATGGTTTTAAAGGCACCAGGAAGAAATGCAAAACCATAAAAACAAGTCTACTTGGCTGGAAAATATATTTGAAAGTTCTGTTAAATTGAGACAGGGAAGGGTGAGATCACAAGGGTGAATCAGTGACTGGAAACTGATGAGGCTTGTCAGGAATATTCTGTTGGACACCCCAAGACTTAAAAAAGTTTTGACAAAGGGAAGGAGATGATTGAATAGTGTTAGGAAAAGACATTTTCTGAAGTCAGCAGGTATGATAGTTCAATAACAAGAAAAGACAAATACAGTAAAGGAAAACAATATAAAGTAATAATGTATTTGAAGTTATTTCTATAGGGTAATGAATGTAAAATCTGTTATATGTAAATTATTATGATTATAATATCATTATCACCTGGTTAATGCATGCCAGCCACATCACTTGGCCATGTGAGGCCAATTTCCCATGCCTCAGAGAATACCAATAACATCCGATCAGAGGTATCAGCAACCTCTGTCCACAGCTTAGTAGACCCTCACAGCTACTGGGTGAAATTGATTGTGTCTTCAAATGCAGTTTTCAAGACATGAAAAATGTATTGTCAGTGAGCAAAGTGTAGGTTGCTATCAACACCTCTGTTTAATGAGCCTCAGATCACATTACAATATGACTATCAATTTATCTTGTATCACATTCCAAACTTACTCCTTATTCCTGGTGCAAAAATATCTTCGTTAAAGATTGTGGCATCTAGCTGTATCTCTGCATCTTTTAAGTCTGTCTTCCACAGACTATCAGCCTCTTATTCAGTCTTCCATTTAATCCCAAATTCTGTCCCAATGCAGTTCCCAGAGTTTATTGCTAGCACTGAATCTGGTTATTGGGCTCTGTTACCCATTCCATTCCCTAAGATATAGCTTCAAGTATTTCTCCCCAAATTTCTTCACCTCTAAGCACCTAGGATCAATTTCTTATGTTCTGACTATACTTGTCCAGTGTTTCAGACATCCCCTATCACCTCGTCTACTCTTGCTTTTCATCTGCACAGAAATGTCAACTTCACTGACTCTTCCAATTGCTCTCATTTTCACTTATCCCAGGCCTTTATGGGTCCCTAAAATGTGTATATGTTCTCAGGAATTATGGTCCTATACTCTGTATATGACCACAGGTCCTATGCTAGGCATTATGGAAATAAGGATAAATACATCTCAACCCCTGCCTACAAGAAGCTAGTTTCCAGCCTAATGCACTGACAAGTAAAATGCATAACAGTAAATCTCTAGAAGTTCATGTGCATGTGCCTAATTCAGACTGGGACTATCAGGGGAAACTTTTTTTTTTTTAATTTTTTTTTCAATGTTTATTTATTTTTGGGACAGAGAGAGACAGAGCATGAACGGGGGAGGGGCAGAGAGAGAGGGAGACACAGAATCGGAAACAGGCTCCAGGCTCCAAGCCATCAGCCCAGAGCCTGACGCGGGGCTTGAACTCACGGACCGCGAGATCGTGACCTGGCTGAAGTCGGACGCTTAACCGACTGCGCCACCCAGGCGCCCCAAAACTTTTTAAAAGTGGTTATACCGCACTGTGCCCCCAATATGAAAAATAGTAGAAATAAATAAAAGTAAACTAGAGGATTATATGGGTATGCTGGGTATCTCTTCAGGCCAAGGGAGCTTAGAGATGAAAGAAGGCATGAGGGCATATAGGGAAGTTCATTAGCTCATTAAGGTTGGAGAAAACAGTATGAGAGGAAAAACAGGAAAGGCTACAGAGGAAATTAAATTGTATCACAATAGGATCTATATAATGTGCTAAGCTTTTTGGACTTCTTCCTTATGGCTGACAGGAAGACCTAGACTTAGTGGATAAGTGTGACATCCTTAGTCATGTGTCTTAGAGCACTCTTACAGCAGTGTGGAAGATGTTTAGGAAAAAAGGCAAAACTTCCAATAACATGAGATTCTAAATCAAGAATCATTAGTGGAGATGGAAAAAAGGGGTAGGCTAAGGAGTTGGAAGAGATCGGTTATGTAGAATAAGCGTGCATTAGGGTAGAGGGAATAATAAATTGAGTATGGCCTATAGTCCTTGGATAAGCCAGTGACTGCTGATAGCTTTCACGAAATATTAACAATAGCCAGAGAGATAAAGAGAAAATTATTATAGTGTTATATTTCCTTCTCAGTGGAAACCAAAGCAAAATTTATAATCAAATACTTGATATTTTAACTGACCAATACTCATTTTACTTCCTGGATTAACATATTTTACTTCCTGGATTAACATATTTTTCTGCCTAAAAAACTGCTCAACGCTTCTGGCTGGCATGTTTCTTGCTATCATACCCAGGTATTTCTGCTAATTCCACTGAGTTACAGGTTTACTAAGGGTGCCTCAGTTGTCCCTCATTGTATATACAGTATTTTCTGTTATGGTTGTCAACACAAAATTTAATTAAATATTACTAACACCAATAGTATGAGTGAAAATGTAGTTTTAAATGCTATAAAGATTAAACTGATGCCTTTTAAAAGGTTCTCACATCTTAGATGCTGAGTTTGGAGTGTGCATTTCTAATAAATGGATAGTTGGTTTTAATCATTCTGTTTCATGACTAAATAATATGGGAGTGGCTTTAATCTTATCCTAAAACTTAGAAAACAGAAGACCATAAGAAGAATGGATGGGGATTCAGAGTCTGTACAACTTTAGCATAAAACACAGCTCACCTGAGTCAAACTTTGTTATTTTATGGGGGTACACTTATCAGTCATTATTAAAAATTTAGAATTTCAAAAGCAGAACATTGCTCTGGGAAAGTTACCATTGCATATATAGAGGAATCCTCCTGAGAATAACAATTCTAATGATCTCCTTCACCAGTGGTTCCCAAATGAAAACCCATGGAGAGTCTACATAAGGACAATTTGGAAGGACATGCAAAAGAAATACATATTCCCAGCTCTCCAACCCAGAGATCTTAGAGAAAGGTCAAAATCCTTCCCAATCTATCTATATCTACATACTGTTGTCAGTGAAGGCCTTAAACTATGTTTCTTGACCACACGTAACTTGACAATTAAAATGTCTAGAAGGTAGACTCATAAATGGCACTTACATTTCACATCACATATTAAAAAGAACAAATACCATATGATTTCATTCATAAGTGGAATTTAAAAAAAAAGAACAAAAAGCAGAATCAGACCTATAAATACAGAGAACTAATTGATGGTTTCCAGAAGGGAAGGGGAATGTGGGATTGAGCAAAACAGGTGGAGGGGAGAGGGAGATACAGCCATCCAGTAATGGAATGGATAAGTCATGGGAATAAAAGTCAGTATAAAGACAGTCAGTGATACTGTAATAGTGATGGAACAGGACAGATGGTAATTACACTAGTAGTGAACACAGCATAGTGTATAAATTGTCAAATTACTAAATTGTACACTTGCAACTAATATAGGATGGTGTGTCAACTACACTTGAATAAAACAAGTCTCATGTCTTCTATGACAAATAGGCAGAAAATCATGACCCATGTTTTTGGCCATAATAACTACAGAAACATTCAAGACAGACCAATGCCTGCTCTGTTTGGAGATTAACAAGAAAGTACATGCATTTTTTTCTCTTTTTTTTTTTTTTAAATTAGGCTATACACTCAACGTGTGTCTTGAACTCACAACCCTGAGATCAAGAGTCACATGCTCTACCAACTGATCCAGCCAGGCACCCTGAAAATACATGTCTTTATAATGTAAACATTTGCCACATTTGATACCATGTGATCTTCATTATGCAGCAATAGAGAATTCCAGGATTTATCGGATACACATTCTCTGGCAGCTGCAGCACTTCAGGAGAACAGCCATGTGAGCAGGAAGGAAGTCACTTCCCATTTCAGATGATCAGATTTTAGCAAACACAGTTTTCATTTATTGAAATCATGGTGGGCACTTCAATACTGTCATTTATTAATTCTTTCATTATGAGATATTACTATAGGGACTTCGTGGGAAATGGACACTATAGCTCCAACACAAACAGAAACAAGGTCTTATTTACAGCAAGAACCACTTAAAGGAAAGTTGCACGGTTACAACTTCCAGATATTTCACTTAGTATCTCCCCAGGTTATGAATGACCTGAACAGATTTATTGAGTCTCTGCTTGTTCACATATGATTTCATCAATCAGTTGTTCCAGAAGCATCTTACATTAATTTTCCAACTACTGCTTTATATTATGTTACCATTGCCAACAATAAAAAATAGACCTCACTCAGTGAGGTGATATAAATGCTGGGCAGTTAAGTCTTGCTGATGTATGACACCATTTTCCACCAACATCAAGAGCATCCATACCTACAGCCATCTAGACAACATCAAAAAGAGAGAATCTATAGATAAAAAGGCACCGATGAAATATTGGTGCAGGATAAATGGGTTACCCAGAATCCTGCCTGATCTGAGTCTGAATACATTCAAAGTGCTGGTGCTATTTATGTCTCTTCAATAATTCCAAATCTATTGATTTTCTGGGCTGTACCTTCCACTGATAAGACTGCTAAATGTATAGGAAATACCAATAAGTACTGCTGACTTTTTTTTTTTTTTGATAGAGAGAGTGCGCACACGAGTTGGGGAGAAGGGCAGAGGGAGAGAGAGCAAGAATCCCAAGCAGGCATGGAGCCCAATACAGGGCTCTATCCCAAGACCCTAGGCTCATGACCTGAGCTAAAATCAGGATTCCGACGCTCAACCAACTAGGCCACCCAGGCACCCTGAATACAGTTGACCCTTAAACAATGCAGGGGTTAGAGGCATTGACCCTGGACCCACACAACTGAAAAATCACTTCTTAACTTTTGACTCCCCAAGAACTTAACTACTAATAGCCTACTGCTGACTGGAATCTTTGCCAGTGACATAAAGAGTCAATAAACACATATTTTGTAAGTTGTATATATTACACACTGCATTCTTATAGTAAAGTACACTAAAGAAAATATTATTAAGCAAATCATAAGAGAAAAGACATTTACAGTCTATACTGGAAAAATGTGCATATAAATAGACCTGTGCAGTTCAAACCCATGCTATTCAAGAGTCAACTGTATTTAAAAACTGGTCTTGTGACTTTAAGTGCCCTTAACCATAATTATATGTTCCAGCGATCTAACTTGGGGTTTATCCTAACGTTTACTTCCCTTGATAGAGTTGTTAAGACTGCTTATTTCTTGGTTATTGCTACATCAATAATTGATTTACTGAATTCTATAGTGAGAACAATTAACTTCCTGGTAACAAATAAACATATCTTGTAACCTAGACACATCTAAGCCAAGTATGTTCCTTGGGCTTGCTAAGTGCAAGAGTGGTTGGAGACAGAATGGCCAGCAGTGTTATAATTGTTGCCTGAGATGCTCATGGGAGAGGCAGGCTACTGAGCTTTGCTTATGTGTGGCACACTTCCCACCAGCAATTTTGGGAAGCTCTGCCCAGGCTCCATGTATCTTTTGATATATGGGTTATGTCAGGAAGAGAGAAAGAAATACTGAACACAAGCACTCAATACTTTACAGCGTTACCTAGAGCTGGACCTGTCCCAAAGCTTTTGCATACACTTGCTTGATAAGCAAATGTTCTCTGTTGGCATGTTCATTGTACAACACACACTATCAAACTTCAAAGCAGAAGATCAAAATTTATATTTTATATTTTGTAAAATTTAATGAAAACTATTTTAAGCTTATACTCTTTTACAAATGCTATTAGATTTTTTTTTTTTTTTGAGAGAGAGAGAGGGTACAAGTGAGCATGGGGCAGAGAGAGAGAAAATCCCCTGAGTGGCAGAGAGAGAGAGACAGAGAGAAGCAGGGTTCACCCTAAGTAGGGCTCGTGTTAGCCTGAAGCAGAGCTTGTGCTCACCAAATGCAGGTCTTGAGCTCACCCAAAGTGGGGCACCAGTTCACCGGCTCACCTACCCTAAGCAGGACTTGAACTCACAACCATCAGATCATGACCTGATCCGAAGTCAGATGTTTAACCAACAGAGCCACCCAGTCGCCCCTGGTAGATATATATATATTTTTTTATTCAAGGCTATGCAAGTTAGGAAATTACTTCTGGTTAAATTTAACCAGCCCCCTGCAGGTGGGCTAATTAGTTATAAACTGCAGTTATATTGGTGGCTATAGGTCTTACAAGAAGATCTTGAGAGTGTTATTCCACTTACAAGGACGTAAATAAAATGATCTATAAAAATCAATTATTAAGAAAGAAAAATATAGTGACCTAGCTTTTTACTTGTAGGATTCAATTAATTGTACCATTTAATATTTTATTCTGATAGGCATCATCTTATAAACTTTCAAGCAGAACTTGAAACTTGCTGAAAATTAAACAGTAAATATTCCATACACGTTGATAGAGATTAGCTCTTTGGCTGAGCTTTTGCCAGGGAGACACCTCTAGAAAATCTACTGGGGGATAGTTTCAGGAGGTCATTACACCCCTTAAAAATCAAGATTATTGCTTTTAACATGAGTATAAATAATTCATCCACTATCAACCACTTTCAAGATCATAATATATAGCCTTTATTGTTTGTTTCATGACATAATTTACATAAACAGGTGATCAATCATCTCATGTGGTACACTTAGAAATGCTACCTGGTAAAGTCACGTTTTGAAATTACCTCCGGTCTGATAATTTTCTTATACGAACAATTCCACTTAAAGGCCTGTTTCTAATTTGTTCCTCATTTTCACCTCCACTCCATCCTTTGTGTCTTGCCTGTTACTCATGATCAGTGACTTGTAGCATTACATATTTTTGGAAACCCTTCAACATAAAGATTTATATATAGAAAAAAAGCATCTATATCAAACATTGTTTTATTCACAGGTGTCTTTGCCTATTCGCCTATGGACAACTTTTTATAGATGTCATATGCTCTTAACTTATGTGCACTTTTAGAAGAATATTCTTCAAAAAATTTTTGCATAATTTAAATTATATGCTGCTGTTACTATATAGTGCTCATTTGTATTCCACAACTCATAAATTGAAGCAATTAAGATTCAGTTGTGCAGGATTTATAATATAAACCCAAAGGTTGTCATAGAATGGCATCAGCTTTACTTTGTCTAATTACTCTTTATATAATTTCATATATACCAGTAAAGCTGGAGGCCTGGAC